GTGTAACATCCCAAAAATTTTTACTTAAGGATAGTTGGGTAATTAAGGATAAATTAGATAATTGAGAGTTAACTTGGACTAAATAACAACAACAACAACAACAACAACAACAACAATAACAATAATAATAATGTATGAATGGCTAATAGGTATATCAGATCCTAATCAAGACTTAAAATTGGACCCTAGGTGGTATTGAGCTATATTTAGGCTTAATTAGATGGACAATATTTGAAATCTAAAATTTTGATCCTTGGTCGTAGCCAAGAGTCGATTTTTAAGCTTTCAAACTTGCTTTTCAGCTTAAAAATTAGAGTTTTGAGTGGGAGTTCGAAGGTAAACAAAAAAGACTCTGTTAGAGTTTATTGTAGACATCCAATTGAGTTTATTTGGAGCTTCTAATTATTTGGGTAAGTACTTATAACCTCTCCTCTTCTTCTCTTGTGCATTTTCGCTATGGTTTTTGGGTAATTCTTTACGAATCTAAAATTGAGTTGTGAGTTTGCTTAAAATTCTAACTTTAATGGGATTAATGAGAGTTTATTTAAATGCTTAACCTTTGGGTTATGATGTTATTGATGTTTTAGGATTTCAAGGTGGAGTTTGGAATAAACTTTAGAGCTAATTTGTTGAGCTAAGAAAATTATGAATTATTAGTGGTGTTGATCAGACTAATGAAAGTCCAAGTAAACTAATGAAACCTAAAAATGAACTTAGTTGTTGGTAGATGATTACAATAGAATTTTTGAATTTAAGCCTTGATTAGAGTTAATTAAGGATAATTAGTCATTAATGATTATTGGTGTATTTGATTGTAGATTAACCATTATTGGTGCTATTGAGCTTATTAGAGGCTCCATTTAATATTCACGAGTATTCTTTATTGGTAAACCAAGAGTTAAGGTAATCAAAAATTTTAATTATTGTATATTATAGTGTCTACAACTGTAAATTTTGCTAAGTTATCATTGGCTTGAGATGGGTAATATGGACATGTTAGTTAATATAGTGACTTGAGTTAATGTTATGCGATAAACAAGCCTAATAGTGATAAAAATACTTTATGGCTATATGATAACCTGCAAGTTTTGTTTATGAATGTGTTGAGTTATTGAGATATGCATGAATATATATTTGCATATGTTGACTGAACTTGCATGATCATAATGGATAGGAGTTCACCCTAGAATAGTAGAAGATTAGAATAATAAATCCACGTGGTATGGCTTTTACTGAGTTTGTGCATAATGGTTGACATATTTCATTATTATATGTTCTTAGTATTGTCAACAACCTATGCGTATGACATGGGCGAGCATGATGCTTAGTATCACTGATCTTGGATTAGACAATGTGGGTCGGATACTTATAACACCCTAAAATTCGAGTAAGGAGAACCCATAATCTAAAAGTGAGTATGGGAGCCTTTGACCGAGTGACTCCTCACAATTGGAGAGAGGGGCTAATCCAGTCACACGGACTATACCGATATGAGTTTAGGTTCAATTAGAAGATATAAAGAGAGATATAAGGTGGTTGTATTGATTATGCGGCATACTATCTTGTGTTATGATGTGATTAATGTGTGATTGACTCATGTGATATAAATTGCTTATTCGTTTATATGTGCTACGCTTTAATATGCTTTAATTAAGTCTCTTTGTTATTGAGATTTTTTAATCTCATTCCCATTTATTAATATCATTATAAGAGACGATAAGGATAAGGAAAAAGGGAAGGCATCGATGCTAAAGAACTAGAGCTTATCTTGTAAAGTCTCTAGTTAATCTATGTGTAATTGACATTATTTTGCCAACACTAAGGGTTTTTCATGTTGGTTTATGTTTATTTGAAGTTCATTTGTAATGGCAGCCTTAAACTTTAATTTTAGGCATTTTTAAATTGTCATAGCTATAATAGAGTCCTAACACCTAAACTAACTATGGTAGTGAGCCAAGATAATTTGAACAAGTATATTTTAACAAGTTAAATGAGTTTTACATATTTTGGGTGATTATTTAACTTGAATGTAAAAAGTTACATTTTTACCCTCTCATTATGTGTTTTATAGAGATTGAGTGATCAATTCTTGTATTAAGAGTTTTTTGATACTTTTAACTATTTGGACAAGTGTATTAAGACTCATTGAGTGTTGTTTAAGCCCTTGTGTGAGCTAATGGCTTATTTTTTGAGTTTTGAACACTTGGTTGATGGTTTAGAGGTAAAAATGTAAAGTTTTAGTTTTGGGTGTCTAAATTCTTCATATGATGTTGGATTGATGTGAAACCAAAACTATTAGTTAGATTATAAAATTTTTGATGTGTAAGCGTTTGAATCACCTCAATTGAAGGTATGAGTCAAAAGTTATGCATGTCAGAAGTTTATGATTGGAATGTGTCATGACAGATACTGTCATGAAGTCTTGGTCGCAGCTTAAAGATTGTTGGCCATAGCCAAAGAGTGGCTAAGAGCATTTGGCCACAACTAAAAGGGAATTGGCTATAGCTAAGTCTTTACTGAAAGTGTTGGTCGTCGCTTATTATGCTCTAACTATAGTCAAGTACCCCTATTAAGTGAAAATAACCCTTTTTTACTTTATTTTAACCTATTTTCAACTCTAATTGATATTCATACTTTCCAAATACTTTTTACTCTAATTTATAATGTTTAAATAAATTTTTAAACCTAGTTTTGAGATTAAATAATTAATGAGATCCCATCCCTACAAGATTTTTTTTTACTTAACTTTTTAAATTTTTATATTGCTGAGGTTAATCTTTCTTTTTCATGATATCTCTTATTATTAATTTAATTAGTTAATATTATCATAGAATCTTTACCTTAAGATTAATTTTTACGCTAGTTATGTGTTTAATTGATAGAGGTATTACAGCCAGCACTAATCGGCCATCGGAGCCCCTATTACTGACGAGATCACCGGCAACATTTTATTTAAGTAAGGTTTTTAAGTGGTCAAGGGTGGGTTTGATCCTATAACTCTTGGCCATCTAAAAAGCTTGGTGGCTTAGTGGCCACCAAGCCCTTTAATAATATATGGCAAACAAAAATATAAGTAGTAAACCAAGTATAAAATTACTTTCATGTAATAACCTAATGGTGTGTTGTTAATTTTTGAATGAAACTTATTATTTTACAAATATCACTTGTTAATTTGATATGAACAATTACAAAATAGGGGCTTTAAAACTTCACTATTTTATTTGTCAAACATCTCAATGTATTGTTATCAATCACGAATAAATTGTCAAAACCAAACGGGTACTTGTCAGTAAATAACTAACACATACAATTAAACCCTTCCTATCAATTTTTCTAACTTGTTAAAACCATAATAGATTCTTGTTAATTTCAAATGAATTGTTGTTATTTTACAAATGTCACTTGTTAATCTGACATGAATAATTACAAATTGGAGGTTTCAAAACTTCACTCATTTTACTTGTTAAACGTCCCAATATATTGTTGTCAACGGATAGGTTGTTGTCAAAACTAAACGAATATTTGTTAGTGAATGACTAACACGTACTAAGTCTTCTTATCAATTTTTTTAACAAGTATTCGTTTGGTTTTAACAATAACACATTGGACGTTTAACAAGTAAAATAAGTAAAATTTTAAAGCCCCCAATTTATAATTATCTATGTTAGATTAACAAGTAACATTTATAAAATAATAAGAATTCATTTAAAATTAACAAGAATCTATTATGGTTTTAACAAAATAGAAAAAATGATATAAAAGGTTTAGTTATACGAGTTAGTCATTCATTGACAAGTATCTGTTTGGTTTTGACAACAATCTATTCGTGATTGATAATAATACATTGGGACATTTAACAAGTAAAAAGAGTGAAGTTTTGAAGCCTCTAATTTGTGATTGTTTATGTCAGATTAACAAGTGACACTTGTAAAATAACAATAATTCATTTGAAATTAACAATAATTTATTACAGTTTTAACAAGTTAGAAAAATTGATAGAAAGAGTTTAGTTATATGTGTTAGTCATTTATTAACAATTACTCGTTTAATTTTGACAACAACATATTCGTGATTGACAACAATACATTGGAATATTCAACAAGTAAAATGAGTAAAGTTTTGAAGCCCTTAATTTGTAATTGTCCATGTCAGATTAACAAATAATATTTGTAAAACAACAAGTCTTGTTCAAAAATTAACAACATACCATTAGATTATTACATAGAAGTAATTTTTGTGCTTGGTTTACTAATATTTTTTTTTGCCATATATTATTAAAGGGCTTGGTAGCCTAGTAACGATCAAGCTTTTTAGGTAGTTAAGGATTATAAGATCAAATTCATCCTCGGCCACCTAAAAACCTTACTTCTCAAATAAAATGTCACTGGCAACAGGGGTTCTGGCGACCTCACCTCTGGCAACAATGGGGTTTCTTTTCTTTTTTAAACTATGAGGGCATTTTAATCTTTTCGCTTATGGAGGGGTTCTTTGTCAAAAGGGTCAGAAGATTGTAGTGCTATTATCAAATCATCTAATCTTTATCTCATATAAATATCAAATAATGGTCCTTGGATGTTATTTTTCCTAATTTTTAAGTTAGATTTTTAAGATGCTCCCGCCAGTTTCTAGATTGTTTGATTATTCTAATCTCCTTTTGGATTACTCTTTCCAGCCAATTAATTTTCCCCAAAAATGTTGATTAAAAATAAAAAGCATTGCCACTATGTATACTAACTTGACAAAACATTAACACTCGTGTGGCAAATTTAGTTTAAAATTTTTAAAAAATTGATTGTAATGATGTAAAACCTGCTGAGATAAAATTAAATCTTATTTATCAAAAGAAAATCCCAAGATTCGGGGCATTTACATCGGACCGACCATGGGAAAACGCGGCTAACAAATTCGGGTCACGTGCCATGCATCACCAACAAATCTTTGGATCCCCGCAGGTGACACGTGTCTGATGCGGCGTAGGTTGGAATGACTGAATGAGCTCACAGCAGAGTGACCTCGAATGGTCTCTCCAAGGAAGAGGAAGCATGCAAAGCAGAGCAGAACGAGGGATATAAAAGAGGGAGTCGCGTAGAGAGAGATAAAGAAAGGCGAGAGCTGTTCTAAGTATAGGGTGGCTTGTGAATTCTTATTGGCGAGGATCGTAACGGAAAGCAACTGAATTAACAATCCTTTTGCTTTTTGGATTCGGGAGGAACTAACGCTGGCCATTGGAATCGATTTTGCCTTTTTATTTGAGCATCTTCCCGATTTGTCTTTTCCCAGGCCATATTTTTCTTTTGGCGGGGCTGGCTATTTGTATGGAAGGGCATGCTTTTCACCAGCCAATTCAAAGTGGCATCGTTTCCCTTCCTGGTTTGCATAACCAGTTCGATGATTCTGGAAATGTGAACCCCAGCATTCCCTTTCTTTGCCCTACATCTACGTTGACTGACCCTTTTGTGCCGCCGCTGCCACCCTCCGGGGTGGTGGTTCGTCATCATCCAACCTTACCCGCTCTTGCACTGCGCCCTCTGAACCCAGCTCTTTTAATCAAGGTAGACGAGGAAAGATCAATGTCTCTGCATCAGGTCATATTTCTTCTGGAGGCAACTATTTCTTTTTCTTTGTTTTCTTGCAGTTCTTGCTTGTTGCAATATTCTTTTTTCTTGTGGCGTGGGTTGTGTGTTTTTAGTTCGTGGCTTTGTGATTCTGGGTTCAATTTAATTTGCAGTTGATGGCCGATGAAGGACTTGTACCGTCGCCAGAAGAGGAGTCAAGAAGGAAAGTTGCCATTCAGAAGCTCAAACAGGTTTTTCTCGCTCAATATAGCATTTTACCTGGTCTCCTCCTTTTAATCTTTCTACTTTCCGCAATATCTAGTCTTCCGTGCGTTACTGCGTTAGGTAATGCGTCCTTTTTTCTGGTCTTTCTAAAGGGTATTTGGAATTTTAAGCGTTTTGATTGGGAAATAGAATTGTGATTTGTCTTGCCTGTGACAATTCCATATTTTTAGTCAATAAATTGTGATTTTGATCTATTAGGGCTATGGATACTGACATCTACACCTCCGCTCTTTTTCCCTCTTGGAGAAATTGTAATAATAGACTAGTAGTTGTCAAAACATTCTAAAACCATCTTTTTTAAAAGATGCTTTCTTTTCTTTCTTTCTTCTTCTTCTTCTTTTTTTTTGGCACCATGGTGAGTTACATCGTAACCTTTGGTGTAAAAGCTGGTCTTTTTTAAAGGTGCTTTCTAATTCGCTTCCTTAAAGAAAGGGAAATGCGTTTTTCTTCCATCGCTGTGAAATCATATTTTCTTGATTCTTTCACATGTAGGAAAGATGTTGGTATTGATAGTTTGACAGCATTTCCGTGATTCTACATGATGGAATATCATGAGTTTACGATTCCAATGCGTTTCATTACAATTGTAGGATTGCATTGTAATTCCATTGCCTTAAACTTCTGTTGATGTATATGTTACTCTTGTAAGATGCAATTGTTATTTATGGGCAATGCTACTCTCTATATTAGTTATGTGAATGTTAGCAATCTCTGTTGCAAGTTTTGATAAAAAAAAAAAAAAAATCCCACTCTTTCACCTAATAATCGATGTCAGTGTATTCCAGGTATTTTTCCACAGCACTATAGGTGCAAGATCATTCAATTTGGAGTTGTAGAAATTTGTGCTGTAGCTAATGACCTGAATAAAATACATTACATTTATTGCGCCTTTTAGAGAAAGAATAAGGACATTTTGATCAGATCACCTTATGTGAAGATTACTAGCTGCCACAGGGTGAATGCGGAGGTTCAAGTTAGAATTCCCTTGTTATATTTGTTTGCTTGCGCTGGAATGATTGTTTTAAATGTTCTACGTTGTACTATCTTGATGATATTATCAATCAATTACCAATCCAGCACTTCTATTGTATCACCTCATTTCTGAAACTGTTTATTTGATATTGCACATAACTTTGTAGATTGTTTTATCATGGATTAAGAAGGTTGCTCAGAATCATGGACTTCCCGAGCATAAAATCTCTACCACTTCAGCCACCATATTGGCCTATGGATCTTATGGCCTTGGAGTACGTCCTCTCAATTTCAGTTTGTATCATCCAATGTCAAAGATGTTTGTTTGCTATTTATACTTTATGTCTTGGCCATGTGGTGGAAGTTCGGAGATATAACAATTAGAATTTGGTTGATCATATTGCATTTTCACTATTAAAGTTCTTTGCCTGATTCAAGGGCTCCTTTGCAAAAATTTACGTGTCTGTGTGTGTTCATAAAATGCTCACTTTCTAGACATGTGAATTTTTTAATTGACACATGACTGAACTACAGGCTTTCACTTAAAGTATACACAGGCATAAATAAAGGAAGCAAGCTCCCAACTCATTGATACCCTAGCTTTATTAGACTTAGATGCTCCTTGATGAATAAAATACTGTTGATTTCTAGCACTGTTACTTGGTTTTACTTGATCCTTTTACTATCTAAGTTTCTTTTTCTTTTTTCTTTTTTTTTTTGGGGAGGGGGGCATTAATGACTATTGAAGCTGAAAACTGTATTTTTTACTTTTTAATGTTCAGATGAAAGTTATATTTTAATGGGAAAATTAATCTTTTAGTCCTCTAACTTTTAAGTCACTTGTAACTCAGTCCCTCAACTATGACTCGCTGTGACTCAATCCCTCAACCATAACTTGCCTATGACTCAATCCCTCAACTTTTGAATCACTTACAAATTAGTCCCTTAACTTTTGTTAATTTTTTTTTTCATGTTAACTTCTATCTCACATTAATAAATAAGAAGAGGGTATTTTAAAATAATATGTGAGCATTTTTTTATCCCTCTTATTTGATAAAAAAATTTAAAAAAAAAATAAAAAATAAGGACCGAGTTATAGGTAAATCAAAAGTTAAGGGACTGAGTTGCAGCGAGTTATAGTTGAAGGACTGAATCGTAACGAGTCATAATTGAGGGACTGAGTTACAAGTGAGTTAAAAGTTGAAGGACTAAAAGATTAATTTTTCCTATTTTAATTTATTGTGATTTGCTACAACTTGTTGACATGTCAAAAAACTTGTTTTGTCTTCTGAACTTCTGAATATGTTCAGGTTCACAGTCCAGAATCTGATATTGATGCTCTCTGTGTTGCTCCTTTCTTTGCTTCAATGTCTGTAAGTCTATTATTATATTCTTCTATTTATCAAAAAATTTCTATTTGGCAGTGCAATAATTGTCTTGATTTCCATGCCTATGATTTATGCAGGAGGACTTTTTTGTTCATTTGCATGACATGCTTAAAAACAGACCCGAAGTAGCTGAGATACAGTGTGTTAAGGGTGCAAAAGTGCCTCTAATGCGGTTTAAGTTTGATGGAATTTCCATTGATCTACCATATGCCCGACTTAAAGTATTATATGTTCGTGAGGTGAGTATTTTTGGTTTTTAAGTATAAAACTGTTTATTTTGGCCACTCATTAAGTATAAAACTTTGTTAACATGATTGTTGGAGCAATTACATATGTGAAGAGTTAATAAATTCTTGAATATTCATGCTCAATATTTTCTGCTAAATATGTCATCGTCCCTTTAATTAGTTGTTTAGTTTTAGTGCTACAACACTGTTTTATTTTTTTTATTTTTTTTCCTTTGTTTAATAAATTCCTTCACCCTTCTTATATATTTCCTGGATATATTGGATTGCTGAGCCTTTGGTCCACAGAATGTAGACATATTAAACCCATTATTAATGAGGAATATTGATGGTACCAGCTGGAAAAGCCTGTCTGGAGTTCGTGCAAATAAGCATATTCTTCAGCTTGTTCCAAATGTGAAGGTAAAATGCATGCCAATCTTTCTTGTCTTGCAACATCAGTTTTTCTGACTTTAGTCACATATGTCTGTGTAACACAAAAAATATAAAACCAGAAGAGTGTCTTGCTGATTAATTTGGGAAACGATAGAAACCAGTTGGTCCTCTTTTGCTTCATTCCTCCGGGTCCATTTTGGTTTTGTGGTCTCATATTTGCAAGAATTGTTTCCAGAATTTTCAATCTATGCTGAGATTTCTTAAATTATGGGCAAAAAGGCGAGGAGTGTATGGAACTGTAAGTGCATTTGTACTAGAGTAGTGTTCACTTACATTCTTTGCTTCAGGTATGTGCTTATGTACACAGCCTTTAAGCTTACGTTGAAATAAATTCTTCTTTCAGTTACTTGGATATTTGGGAGGAGTTCACTTGGCTGTCCTTGCAGCTTTTATTTGTCAAAGATATCCAAACGCCTCCTTGAACGCTCTAATTATGCACTTTTTTCAAACATTTGCATTTTGGCCCTGGCCTAAACCAGTAATGGTACAAGAAGGAATGTTCCCAATAGTTACAGATGTTATGGAGACGCGATCCTTGATGCCTATACAGCTTCCTTCTAGTCCTTATGAGTATTGCCATTCAAATATTACTAGAAGCACATTCTATCGAATTAGGGATGAGTTTCTACGAGGATGTCATATGACATGGGTATGTTATTTTTTTTTTAAAAATTAACATAGATATACTTGTCATCTTACCTTACTTCTTTGTCAACAATTTTATTCAGAGGCACTTGATCATATTGCTTCATATGCTGTAGTGGCGCACTTGATCATATTGCTTCATATGCTGTAGTGGCTTTCTAGTTTTGTTTGATAACTGCAGTTGAAGTATACTCTAATGTTGTTTTCAATAAATAGCATATGTGTCATGAATTTAAAACATATTTGCTTATGGATATGTCTCGAGTCTCATTTCTTTATTTGGCTGCATTGAAGGATCTTTTTAACTCAGACTTCCATTGGGATAGTATTTCTGAGCCTTTTCCGTATTCAAAAGAATATTCATTATTTGCCAAGATTTACCTCTCTTCTCCTAATAAAGATAGTCTTGGAGATTGGGTTGGCTGGGTCAAGTCACGGTTTCGTTGGCTTCTTCTCATGGTATGCACCTCACTTGTACTATACTATCTATTAAGTTACAATTTAGACCTTTGATATCAGATTCTCATCACTTATGAAAATGGTCATGGAGTTCAATGAATTACAAGAGTGGTCGTTGGTCAGCAATGAGTGTAGGCTTTTATCTCACTATCTAAATAATTTATCTTCAGTGTAACTTCAAACTTTTATTGATCACATGGCTACAGAATTTCTTGTACTAGAGTAGCAAGAAATAATGGAGATAGATGTTAGTAGCACTGTCAAAAGACTGCAATGTATTATTTTCATTCTTCACAGAATTTTTTTTTAAATAAAATTCACTAGTAATTAAAGTGTCCCCTTAGAAATATGTCAAAATATTTCATAAATGGACCAACCATATGATAATCCGCAAGCACTTATCTTCACTTCGAGCTCCCTCTAGTGATGATAGGAGGTGGTTGTTGCCAACAGTATCCTCTTTATATGTTATCTTCATTTCCTTTTGTGGTCTCACTTGTGCAGTTGGAGGAAATCCAAGGATTTTGTGACCCCAATCCAACAGAATATGTGGATGCTGAGAAAACTGAGTCTAATGTGGTTTTCTATTGGGGCTTCCTAGATGGTAAGGATAATGTAAGTGACAAGATACAATTGATAGAGGAGGAGTTCATGAGTAATCTTAGCACATACTGTGATGTTTCTCCTGGGAAGGTGGAATTGTCCATTCTATTGGCTTCTGAGCTTTCCAAGAGTGCTCTCTCTAATGATGATACTGCAAAGCCTGCAAAGACATGTTGGAAGAAGATAACTGACCTTGATCAGACAAGAAGTCTCCCAGCATACTCATAACAGTGTCTTCCACATCACTTTGCTAACAAAGGCATCTAATGGTGGCCACTCTGAGTACTTGGGTTCGAGGGGATAGATTTTAATTTGTTCCATTTCTCAACTTCCTGTATATACCGCAAGTCCTGTATTTTCTGGTTTCAGTAATTGCATAGGTTTTAGGGAATAGATGATACAAGTCTCTGCGTATAGGTCTCTTTAGTCACAGAAGAATGAATAGTCTTGAAATTTGAAGTCAATTTAGTGAATAGATGATAGGAGTCCTTATAAATAAAAACTCAATTGTACCTGTCAAATGATTGTGCAAAGCCAGGTTGAAGAAAATTGTTTTTATTTTCTCTCTCTTTTTTCTTAAACGTATATAATAAAGCTTTTTATGGGCCAAGTGTTTATTACTTCTATCATTGGGGTGGTAAAATAGACTATAATTTTCATGATTTTATGTTTCGAGCATTAAATTTTTTGTTTTGGCCAGGTTTCGTGCATTAATTGAAAAACCATTGAAATATTATGTAAATTTTGTATTATAATTTATGAAATGTAATTTTTTCATAAATTTTTATAACGCGAGACATCAATCAAAATTTAACATCCTATTATGTCTTATATCATTAAATTAGAGTACCATTACTGTTCAGAAGTGTAACTTCGTTACTCCTTATATTTTAAGTTGATGTTAATAATCTTGAAAAATAACTTCTCTTTTTGCTTGTATGGTGATAATCTTCTAAAATTATTTGTATATATAACACTTTGTTCATTCTATATGTGAAATTTTCTCATCCATCATTAAAAATAACGATGTTGCAAACTAAACCAAGTTAGAGTAGTGAAAAAATCTCTCAAGCCATTGGAAAATTTTTATACAAAATCGCCTACTTTTTAATTACCGAACATCCTAAGAATATATAGAATAAAATTGTTCTTCCTTCTTCTATTCACAATGATTTGAAAGGTATAATAGGTTTTTTATTCATAAGGACTCGTATCATCTATCCACCTAAGCAAATTCTAAATTGATTTTCAAGACTATTCATTCTCCCGCCGTGATTAATGAGAGCGTCGATTCTCTACAACAACAACAACAACAAGCCTTTATCCCACTAGGTGAGGTCGGCTATATGGATTGTAAGAAGTCATTGTGTTCTATCATTTATCAAGCGTCGATTCCCTAAAGCCTACAAAACTATTGAAGCCAGAAAATACAGGACTGGCAAGTACATATAGGAAACTAATAGATGGAATAAATTAGAATTTGTCTCACAATACCGAGGCTCTCTGACTTGCCACCATTAGATGCCGTTGTTGGTAAATTGACGTGAAAGACACTATTGTGACTATGCCAGTCTTATCAAGGTCAATTATCTTCTTCCAACATGTCGTTGTACTTTGTAGGCTTTGCAGTATCATCATCAAACGAGGCATTCTTGGATAGATAAGAAGCCAATAGAATGGACAATTCCATCTTCCTAGGAGAGACATCATAGTAGGTGCTGAGATTACTCATAAACTCCTCCTCTATCAATTGTATTTTGTCAGTTACATTTTACCATTTAGGAAGCCCAATAGAAAATTACATTAGGCTCAGTTTTCTCAGCGCCCATGTATTCTGTTGGATTGGGGTCACATAGATCTTGGATTTCCCCTTATTGTATAAGGGAAACCACGCAAGGAAATGATGATAATATATAAAAAGGAATGAAGGATATTGTTAGCAACAATTCCTTCTGGTTATCACTGTTGGGAACTTCCAAATGATAGTAAGTGCTCGTGGTCTGTTACATAGTCATTTCATTGATGTAATACTTTGACATATTTGTATGGGGCCACTCTAATTACTACTGATTTATGTAAAAAAATAATTTGTAAAGCGAGGAAATTAGCATCCCACTTTACAGTGTCACTAACATTTATCTCCATCATTTCTTTCTCCTTTGGTATAAGAAATTTTGTCTCCTTGTAATCAATAAAAGTCTAAAGTTACAGCAGGAGATAAATTATTGTAATAATGAGATAAAAACATACATTCATTGCTAACCAATGACCACCCATGTGATTCATTAGACTACATGACTATTTTCATAAGTGATGATATTCTTATTTTGAAGTTCTAAACTGCAACTCAGATAAATAGCAATGGTCCAAGTAAGGTACGTAATCATGAGAAGACCACGAAGCCTTGACTTGACCCAACCAACCCAATCTCCAATATCATCTTTATTAGAAGAAGGGGGGTAAATATTGGCATGTAGTAAATATTTCTTTGAATATGGAAAAAGCTCGGAAATACTATCCTAATGGAAGTCTGAATTCAAAAGATTCTTCAATGTATCCAGATAAAGAAATGAGACTCAAGACATATTCATAAGCAAATATGTTTTCAATTTATGACATATATGCTATTTATTGAAAGACAACAGTAGAATACACTTCAATTGCAGTTGTCAAACAAAACCAGAAAGGCACAACATATGAAGCAATGTGATGAAGACATGAAGTGCATCTGAATAAAATTATTGAAAGAAGTAAGGTAAGATGATGACAAGTACATCTATGCTATTTTCTTTCTTTTTTTTTTTTTTATATACCCATACATTATGTCCGCATAGAAACTCAGCCCAAATTTGATAGAATGTGCTTCTAGTAATATTTGAATGGCAATACTCATAAGGACTAGATGGAAGCTGTATGGGCATCAAGGATTGTGTGTTTATAACATCTGTAACTTTTGGGAACATTCCTTCAGCACCATTACTGGTTTAGGCCAGGGCCAAAGAGCAAATGTTTGAAAAAAGTGCATAATTAGAGAAATCAAGGAGGCATCTGTATGTCTTTGACGAATAAAAGCTGCAAGGAAAGCCAAATGAACTCCTTCCAAGATATCCAATTAACTACAAAAAAGAATGTATTGTCACATAAGCTTTAAAGGTTGTGTACATGAGTACATACTTGAAGCAAAGAATGTAAGTGAACAATACTACTCTAGTACAAATGCACTTACTTCTTGCCTTTTTTTCCCCATATTTTAAGAAATCTCAGCATAGATTGGAAATTCTGAAAACAATTTTTGCACATTCGAGAGACAATGGCCCAAGAGGAATGAAGCAAAACAAGACCAATTGGTTCCTGTAACTGTTTCCTAAATTAATCAGCAAGAACTGATGTTGCAAGAGAAGAAAGATTGGCATGCATTTTACCTCCACATTTGGAACAAGCCGAAGAATATGCTTATTTGCACGAACTCCAGACAGGCTTTTCCAGCTGGTACAATATCAATATTCCTCATTAAGAATGGGTTTAATATGTCTACATTCTGTGGACCAAAGGCTGAGCAGCCCAACATATGAGGTTATAAATATCAGGGATGAAGGAAATTTTTATTGAACAAAGGTAAGAAAAACTCAGAACAGTGTGATGCTGCCAAAACTTGACAAATAGTTAAAGATCCAATGACATATTCAGTAGAAAATATTGAGCATGGATGTTCAAGAATTTTAATTCTTCACATCCATAATTGCTCCGAAAATCACGTTAACAAAGCTTTAAACTTAACAAATGGACAAAAGAAAACGTTGCATGCTTAACAACTAAACGCGCTCACCTCATGAACATATAATACTTTAAGTCGGGCATATGGTAGATCAATGGAAATTCCATCAAAACTTGAACAGTATTAGAGGCACTTTCGCACCCTTGACACTGTGTATATCAGCTATGTCTCTTTTTAAGCAGGTCATGCAGACAAACAAAATGTATGTGATTGGGAAGTTAATTCGAGCAGCTTAATTAATTCAAAGGTTAGTTTGAATTAAGGTTTGTTTCTTCTCAAATGTTTGATATATCTCGTCTATGCCTGCATTTTTGGATTGGATATAATGTGCTGTTTTTGTTTTCGGCCACAACTACCTCTTATTGCTGTTGCTTGTATAATATTTATTCAATTTCATCAATTTACTCTGTTTCAATACTTTATGTTCATCTTTAATTGTTGAAACTATTTATTTAGTTAATCTCTAGTGTTCAATTATTTGCCTTGGCATATATGAATGTGATTGAGCCTTCCTGCTTGAGAAAAACTTTTGCAGGTAGCCTTCTTTGCTTCGCCCACTCCGATCAAGTCTTGAGGAAGACTCATAGTCATAGGTTAAAGTTTTGGAGTTTATGTAAAAGGATATTTTATTGTAAGCCTTGGATGTAATTATGATATTCCTCCGCCATTGTAAGCGAGTGAAAATAATAAAATTTAAAGATACTGTCTTCTTTTTCAAATAATATCTTATAATATATATTTATATATAATATAATATGTTTTGTATTACTAAACTAGACAAAAACTAGCAGATAACTAACCTGTTTGTGGTATATAGGACGTTCTTGTAAAATAAGGGTTGAAAACATTGGAATTAATTGGTTTTTTCATTTTAGATTAATAATTAGAATTTTTCAACCCTTATCTATGCATAAGCCACAGGACAAACCAATATCCCACAAACTTCCTAAATTTGATATGAACTCGTAAATAATTGTGTATGATCAAATTGAAAAAAATATGAAAGAAAAACAGTGCTGGCTCACAGCTTCACTAACATAGTAGTTGGAGACATGATACGCTTAACTCGGTGGACATGTTGTCAGGAGTTGTCTTCATCACGAACCTATATAGTTAATGAAGTTCTTGTTATTTAAATCATTGGAGGAACGCCATAAGAATTATTGTTCTTATGTTTTAGACTCATTTTTGTTTCAATTTTCCGTGAAAAAAATATTTTTGAAAAAATTTAATTTTAAGAAGTTTTATTATATTTTTTTTTTAAATTTTTAAAAATAATCAAGATCTAGAAAACTAAATTTTTGACTGAGAAAATATTTTAAATATGAGAAGTGCTTTAAAGAAAAATTCTTTTTTTTTTAAGATTTTACTCCACTAAAAATAAAGTAAGTCATATTAATTTTCATAAAGTATTTAAATAATAAACTAATTTTCTAAACAATAGGCTCAAAAAAAATCATTTATTATAAATAATTATTAAACTTTCGCATAATAGAATATTAAGAGTATATAGGAAGAACCATCGCATGTGGATCCGTGGCGCAATGGTAGCGCGTCTGACTCCAGATCAGAAGGTTGCGTGTTCGATTCACGTCGGGTTCAATCCCCTTCCTTTTTATTTTTTAATGCCTCCGTTTTACCAACCCAACTACGAATTAATAATCGTTCAGGCGGGCAACCAAAAAAAGGCGTGCCTTTTGTGACTTTGTGGCATCTAATAATTGTATCTCCACATTATTCTTTTGATCTCAATCTCCTTCCTTCTTGCCTAAACTAATATCATCTCATCAACTTTGAAACCAACAAAACAAGCCCACTAATTGCCTACACGCCTCAAGAACACTGTATAAAACCCACTCATCATCTTTCACTTCTCAATACAGTCCACATTCTCAGCCAAAAATGACCACCTTAGAGCTCCTCTCTCTCTTCCCCTTCTTCTTCTTCTTCATTCTTTCTGCAACTTCATCTTTCAACGATGCCAGCCTCATACAACAAACCTGCAAGCACACTCCGAACCAAGCCCTCTGTCTCCAGTACCTCAAATCAGACCCTCGAAGCTCTGATGCTGACATCTCAGGTCTCGCTCTCATCATGGTGGACGCCATGAAAGCGAAAGCCAAGCAAGCCGTGGCCAAAATTCACCAGGAGCTCCAGCGAAGAGGCCATGGCGATACTGAAACACAAGCTCTGAGGTCTTGTGCAGAGCAGTACAGCGCAGTTCTGGAAGCTGATATTCCGGAAGCCATTGCAGCTCTGCAAAAGGGGGACCCAAAGTTCGCTGAAGATGGAGCTAATGACGCAGCTTTGGAGGCCAATTCTTGCGAAAGCAGCTTCTCTTCTGGGAAATCGCTACTCACACGAGAAAACAATGATGTGCATGACATTGCTCAAGTCACCGCAGCTATTGTCAGAAATTTGCTTTAGATTTCTGTTAATGAAATGCTCTCTTTATAATAATTAAAAATAAAAATTGGAGTTCCTCCAAGAGCTGGTTCTATTTACAGGATGTAGGTGAAAGATTCATATTATTAAATTTTTATCACAAATTTATTCTTTTACCTCCAAAAAAGAAAATGTGTTATTTGAACATGAATTTTCTTGATCTTATTTATAAGTTATTTTTTAGTGTATTTTATTAAAATAAAAAAAATTTCAAACCTCATTAATTGTGTAGTAGGAAAAATTAATAAATTTACACCTAGATCATTAATAAAGACAAAAGCAATTATTTTTAATAATTTTTCAAACATTTAAGAAGGGTATAAAGGTAAGGATAAATCTATAAAATAATAAAGTTCTTTATAAATATGATTAAAATTAATCTTTCATATATTCTATAAATAAGACTAGAGGAATATATATATTTAATAAGAATAAAATAAAAAATTTATTAAACTTTTAAACAAAATTAATAAATTTTAAGACTTTTTTTTATTTTAATAAAATTCACTCAATGACAGTTCATAAGTTGAGTTAATGGGAATGGGATTGTTGTGGGGAAGACAAAATAAGTGAGTAGGGCATTTGGCATTGTTAATTGATGGAAATTGTTGGAAGGAGATAAGCAAGAGTTTGTCATTTTCGCGTGTTTTTCTTGGTTTCACATGATAGCATTACAATTTCTTTGTTCATATTCAATCGATCTATGGGGGGCTGCGTTGATTAACATAAGCAGACAGACAAGAAACCACTACCACGCAATCTTGTCATTTTTCATATTTCAGGTGCAATACATTGTTCCAGCCTCTTTAGTATATTCGTCCCTTCAATCTTATTTATAAAATATTTTTTAAAAATAATCATTGATTAAAAATATAAAACACATTATAATAATTAAATATTTTTTTTAATTTTATCCGTTCTTAATTAACGTAAAGATATTTAATTTAGTTATATTGCTACAATATCAAAAAAAAATTAACTTTTTTTAAAATATATGAAATGATTAAAAATATCCTCGTTTAGTACATCTTTTACATAAGTAAGAAAATAAATTTAATTAAATAATAGTAACAAATGTATGGCAAGTATACAGTATATACTTATCCGGTAAAACATACTCCCTCCGTTTAAAAATATAAAGTATTTTTAACCAAATCTCACCTCTTAATAAAGTTTTTACCTACTTTTAAACTAACCCTATCATTTTATAATTATCCCTATTAACTACCCTATAATAAATAAAAAGTCACCATCAATAGGTGCACTTTTTAAAAAAAGCAATGATTACACCTCAAAAAATTAAAAATACCTTATATTTTTAAACATTCAACTCCTTAAAAAATACTTTACATTTTTGAATAGAGAAGTAATCATTTGCCATTGTAGTTTTATTGAGTTTTGCTTTTAATCTCTAAAGTTTTTTTTTTTTTATTGTTTTCAGTCTTTATAATTTCAACAATATTAAATGATGCTTGTTACTCAATTCCTTATAATTTCAGTGCTTTCGATATTTTCAATCCTTATAGAGACTAAAAATATTAAAAAAATTACAGAAACTAAAAGTAAAACTCAATAAAAATAAAAGGATCAATGATTGTGTTTTCCCTACTAATTTTATTTTCTTTACATATTAAAAATGACCTTCATGTATCTAAAAAAATATTAAAGTAGGAGTGTCTTTTCAAATTATAAAGATGAACTTAAATAAACCTTAAGCTGGAATTGATGGTTTCAAAATTTGTATACTTAAAATTGTTAGAGAAAATTCAAAAAGTAATATCATTATCTGAGGTTGATTCAGATATTAAAAATAGGGAGCAAGTAATATCTTCTAATATATTTAAAAAAAAAAAACTAAAGTGATTGTTTTCCAATGCCAGGGTTAATTGTTAGTATTGTCTCAATTAACCTTTATTTTTTTTTGTTAAAACAGTAAATATAATTCAAGCCCTTGGATAAAAAAGATGAATGATAATCAATAAACAAGATTTTAAAGATTGCACTTTTAAGGGTCTAAACTAGTCCAATAGCTAAGATTCTCGTGATAATTTAAAAAAAAAAAAACAAAGGCTAATGTTAAAGTAGATAACATTATTTGAATAATTAATATACTTGTAACGATGAAGTTGGAAGTTGGATCTACAAAGAAAAAAAAAAAAAAAAAGGCTTGGCTTGTGGCATCCTCCTCTTTTACTGAGAAAGGATCAAATGAACAATACTGCAATGATGAATGCCAACCTGAGCTCTACAATTACAGAGACATAAATAATTTTCTGGGGCCACCAACAAAATTCCATTGAGTTTTTCTGCATGAATTAACCCATTTTTAAATCGTAAACATGTATTTATTATTATTACTATTATTATTACTATTATTATTATTATAAATTCTACTATACTCCATGCCAATAACCTTGTAGTTTAAGGACATCTGACTTGTAGCTTCCTAAAAATAAGAGATTGTGAGTTTCATACGATACCCAAACGAGATGTGTGAGAATATTTTTTTATTAAAAGAGAATTTTAATTAAATAAACATAAGAAGTACATAATATTACAGAAACAATATATGATGTGGCTACCACATGTTACCTCCGTGAGTTTTTATTATTTTTTTTATCGAACTCGAATATTTACCCTTGAAACCGTACGGATGAGATGAGTGGGCAATTAATTTTTATTTATTGGACACAGGGTGGCAATTTGTTAATTGAGTTATTAATAATATAGACGAGAAAGAATGATAATTAGATCCAAAAATTTCAATTTGATAATAGTTAGATCCCTAAAAGCCTTTTTAATTGCAGATATCAATTTTAACAGTTATAAATAAATGAAAATGCAAGTTGTAAATCATGAACTAAAAATAATTAATTATCATAATCTGTAACCGAGATTATTATATTTTTAAATTTTTGAATTTTTATTTGTAATTTATTTTTTTTAAAAAAAATAAATTTTGGCATTATGAAATTGAAACTCTAGTACCGAATTGCCATACCCTTCAAATAATGGTAAGAAGAACTTCCAATCCCTAGGCCTAAATTTGAAAACAAGACAAATTAAAAAGTGTAGTTAATGGCTTGTCTCTTTTCCGCATTGCATTGGCGATGTTGTTCTGTCTGTCTCAAGATATTTTTAATACTGCAATTAGTAGTCCTTGGAGGGTGTAAGATTTTATTTTATTTTTTAATTAACATTCATTAAATTAAGACAATAAAAAACTAAAAATCTAAATCAGTCACAAAAAATCCAAATGATAATAACAATAGAAAAACAAAACGAAACCTGCGTGCACGGAAACCAAATACCATATGCTCATAGGGGAGGAATGGAAGAATCCAGTGAGAAAAAAGATAAAAAGCAAATGATCTCACTAATAATTTTTACATCTCTCTCTCCATCACTGTCTCTGTCTCCAAAGAACCCTAGAATCAATGGTGGGATCAGAATCTGAACAAACAGAAGAAGGAGAAGAAGAGGGTGAAAAAGGGGACATCCGTGATACATGGGGCAACCCCAAACTCCTCAAACCTTAAACTTTGTGTTCCTTTTCCTTCTTTCCAGCCCATGGTATCATTAAAACCTGCAAATTACTTTACAATCTCTCTCTCTCTCTCTCTCTCTCTCTCACACACATGATTAGATTTCAAATCAAGTTTCAAACTTCATTATTATCACCTGCATTGCTCCAATTATTTCACAGTTGCCTCGTCGCTTTCCATTTCTTAGACTCGGAACATTAAACGTTTTAATTTAAACATGTTCATTCGTCTGCTATGATTATCGTATTTTATATCTATGAATATTTTTAAATCTGAGCATAACACCAACAACAGATTTCAAATATTTTCACCTCTCTCTTTTTCTCCAGATGGCGACAAACGAATTTCCATTTTTTAACACGCCAAACGACCAAGCTAACCATAAATATCAGTCAGGCTGAGGCACGAACCTCAGTGACATTCTCGCATTCTTCCTCCATCCATAATCTTCATCCGCCATTTCCTCTCGCAAGACAGAACAATGAGGAGCTTCAGCTCGGCCTCTCTACTCTCTTCTTCGTCTTCTTCCTTTCCACTTCTTCATCTTCTTCTTCTTGCTTCTCTTCTCTTCACAACAACCCACCAATCTGACCTTAATACAAGCAGTAATGGCGATTTCATAGACCAGATATGCAAAAAGACTCCTTTTTATGACCTCTGTGTCGCCACCCTCCGTTCAAATCCTCTCGCCCCTAAACCTGATCTCAAAGGGGTCGCTCTTGTGATGGTGAATAACCTTCTGGCAAATGCAAGTGACACTCTGAATTACATTGAAGTCTCATCAAGCAGACCTCAGATCAACAATTAGAGCAAGCCTTGGCTTTCTGTGCAGAGTCTTATATACCCATCGTCAAGTATACTCTCCCACAAGCAGCTGATGCTGTGAGCCAAGGCAGATTTGGGTTTGCCAGTTACTGTGTGTCTGATGCTGCCAAGGAAATCAGTAATTGTGATAAGAAATTCTCAGGCTCTGCTCAGAATCAGTCTCTTTTGGGGGATAGAAATGGGACTCTGCAGAAGCTAGTGGGTGTGGCTTCTGCTATAATGAAACTATTACTCAAGGGTTAATTTTTCTTTTACCCCATTTTGGGTTTTTCCTCTTTTTCTCTTCCTCTTTCTGCCCCGATCTAAAGAGCCTTACTCCAATTTGGATGGTTATTGGGTTTGTACAAAAATTATATATATATGTACTTTGAAAGCAGCTATTGTACTATTGTTCAGTCACTCTGAGTTTTCTGATCAGTGTACCATGTCCCTGCTTCAGCATTTTAGTCATAAAAGATTATTAGCATTTTGAATGGAGTGTTCCCCCTTAATTTTGAAGTACAGTTCTCAGAAACGTTTCAAAATGTTATCTTTTATTTGTTTGCCACAACCACTTGCTTAGTTTCTTAATTATATTTTAGACTGAAACATATTTTAAGAGGTAAAATATAATAAATCTTCAAGAAATAGCTAATCTTGAGAAAGAAACTTAGGACACGGCAAGTTTGTCTCA